AATAAGACATGCAATTAGAAGAAATTAAGGTCAATTTTCAAGCCGGGTTGCCTACTTGGTGGTTTTGAAATCCACGTTAGGTACCTCAAATAAAAGCAGTCTGATTGAACGCCTGCAGTTCTTGGCAACGCACTCGCGCATGTAAGGCAGCCAGGCAATTCTTGTACACAAAGTCTCGACCTCTCCGCTTTATTTTCCCCATTACCTAAAACTCCCAAAACTCCAGGTCCTAATCGCTAGGTTTGACGTGTTCCTTCCTCCTCCTAAGGGAGATACTCAGTGTTTCCAGTGCGTGGCCATATGTGTGCCATATACTCGTTGGACAAGTCCCATTTGCTCAGCATGAGCGTGAAGGCACTTTTTTTAGAACAGGAGCTTGTCATGAAGTATTTGGTCAAATACGTTGTCACAATAGATTTGGATTCCTCACAACCGGTCTGAGTCACTTAAAAGTTAGGTGTTTGCTCTAAGATTTTTCCTGGAGTGTTTTTAGAGTTAATAGTGAGAGGTCAGTATATCTAGAAGGAGATTTATCTTCTCCCTAAGGCATAGAGATGCTTTGTTCTTTGGAGCCACCCAGCTCCCTTGGCCGAATACGCAGGGAGCCTCGGCAGCTCGTTGAGAGGGAGCATCTTCTTCCTAGAGAGCTACGACAGGCAAGATGAGTCTCACCTCTGTGTTTTTGGGTCTGATGGCTCCTATCCCAGATGAGACACACGATGTTTTGCCAACGGGAAAGGTCTACCTATAGACCTGTGCTGCTATAAGAACATCGCACTAACAGCGGATCTTCAGGATGAGCTCAATGCATGGTTATACCGACACGTTGCACGGTTGACCGCGGGGAGATCCCTTCATTCACAGCTATACCTTAACCAAACACGAGCCAACTGCATTTATTACCTCTCATTTAAAATACATCCAGCGCTCTGATTGGGTGCGTCTCAAATGAGGCATAGGAAACACGCAAGTTTCTGAATAAACGGAATTCTTTATTTGATGCATTTTTTTTAAGCTTTGTAGTTATTATTATTGGGTTACTTTTGTCTCTAACTCTCTTCATTTGCGAGTAAAAAGATGCTTCATCTGGCAATCCAAATAGTATATTCACACAAAATATCCCAGGAAATAAACAACTGTGCTCTTCTGACCTGTGTTATGAACAATAAAAAGTTATCTAATTGAGTCCACAGACTGTACATGCCGTGTCTGGCCCCTTGTACCGAAGCATGTCTACGGATTTAATGGGCATATCCAGGTATAAGGCAGATCGGAATCCAGCCACATAACTCCTAATTGATTTAAAACTATACGGGTGGTAACGGTGCCAGAAGACAATTTAGTTTGCTCTCTTTCATACTGAGCTGAAGTTGTTTGGTTTTCTTAAAAGAAATAAAACCGATAATTGTCACTACAGTAAGTAAATATGTCTGAACACACGCAGAAAGCAGATCTATCGGGGAGGAAGGTTACAGAATCTCATTTTGTGGTCCATCTGCTCCCTCTTTGCTTCCCAAGCCAACAGACACTAATCTGGGATGAAGCAACTGACAGGACATGGGGGAGGAGGAGACGGTCATGACACCGATGCGGTTCAGATTTTTTATATATGTGCTCATGCCATTGTGCTAGAATAGAAGAAAAATAATGCAGTGGAGTCAGGAGGACAATTCAAACAATTACGTGTTACAGCAGCATTTTACTGTTCAAGACTTTCTCATCGTTTCAATGCAATTTATATAATTTACCTCTGAGACCCGAGCGCTCAAAATTAATGTTCAAGGGGGAAAAGATGCATTGCTGGAAAAGATTGTTAAGCAGATCACAGGCGAAAATAAACAGTAAAATAATCAGATCGAGCTAAGAAAAGTGTCCAGGGTACTCTTGTTGGATTTTTTTTTCCCTCCTGATTTGCATCTATGCTGATAGTCTTGAAGAAAATGTGAACATCACCCCCACAAAAATTTTCTAGTGACCCTAATATGAAAAAAAAATAAAATGAAAAGCAGTGCAAGAGGATGAGAACCAAACATAAGAGAGCTAAGGATAAAACCAAAATGCAAAGCCACGGACTGTCAGTGAGAAAGACAAAACTGAGGTGGCAGTGTGCCTAACCAGGGATGGCAAATGGGAAAGGGATGTGCTATGTGACTGTGCAGTAATAAAAAAAAACAGGCAATGGACCTGTATCATGTCACCTCCATCTCTGTGCAGCTCAACAACAGCAGTACCGCCAGCCTGTATTTCTAATTCTGGGCACTTTGTCATCAGAAAGACCATAATAAATAGTAAAAAGTTTGTACGGAAGCAAGAAGGAGCAAAGTAAAAAGGAGCTGAAAAGAGAGAAATACGTATTGTTTGGCTTAACTATAACTAAGATGGAAGACACGGACAAATAACAAATTTGTTAACAAATAACAAAAGTGTTAACAAAGCATGTTAACACTCCACTGAAAGTGGCAAGCTCTTGACTGCAGTAAAAGAGAAGTATCACTAGCATTTTGGGTAAGTACTGTGAAGGAGTCACAAAAAAACCCAAAGCCACTGTCAGCGGGAAAGTATGTCTCACGGATAAAGCACCTAATCCAAGATCTTAAAATCATTTTGCCCACCCGACACGAAGCACTGACACAGCGTAAGGGCCCTCTGCCAGGTGAAGGCTGTTCACACTTTCTGGAAGGGTGACTTTAGCCAAGATTAGAGCCCGTGGACGTGCATAAAAATGACCGGACTTCCCTCCACTAACCATGGACTTTTCACGGGTCCCTTCTCATCCCCTTTCCACCTCCCAGTCCTCCAAAGCTACCTGGTTGTCCCTTGGATGCGGTTACCCTGCCTTATGTGCAGAGCCATGATGATTCATGAGGAAGTTGGCTTAAATTTGACCTTTTTTTGCCCACTGCGAAACACCTGAACTGACTCCATTGATCCCAAGACACCACGGTCCAAGTCAACCGCACCAACCAGCAGCACAGTGCTGCCGCTCACTGGTGTCGGGGCTGAGCTGGTGGCCCCAGCCAAAAAGGATGGAGACAACGTGCTAATAGCGGTATTCCTGGGGAACCCCAGCAGTTGGTAAGGGCACTGAACGCCCTTGGGTTGTGAGGGTAGCAGCCATGCAAGGGCAACCAGGACATGGCTCAGGACATCGCCATGCACGTGCCACATGGATACTTTAGGACACTGGAGTGGTAGACAGTCAAAGGAAAGCTCTGAGCTAAGCCTACCAAATGGTGAAGGGCAACGACAGAAATTCAAGGTCAGCACCACCAGGAGCTTGCCTGCAGCCAAACAAGGACACAGACACAACCGCGAATGCAAGAGGAGGTTCCCTGGAGAAGCAGCCATCCTTTGACTGAGGACAACTCAGTTTTTCACAGAAGAGGTTAATTGTCACATCATAGATGGAGAAGAGATGACCGGAGCGAACCTATTTGAAGCATCGCTTTCCCAAGATATCCAGAAATTGGCTTGATTTCCACATCCCTCAGTGTGAAAGCAGTTTGGAGGCCCTTTGTTTCACATTTTTTCCGGGCATGCTGAGAAGTACTGGGCAAAAAGGCAACTTTTGGCAGCTCCGTTCTCTCTCTCACGCACACACATACACACCTACATAGCTGTCTCAGCTTTGCATACTCCCAAACAGCCCTGGCCCTGGCACAGGGTCTAAACTTGTCAGGGTCTAAGGCCTTTCTCCTTATGGGCTTGCCCTCCCTAGGATTAATGGCCACGAATCACATGGTATTGATTTTGTGAGAGCCGAGAATTTCATACAGCAAAGCCCATACATAATTACAGATCATCCTCTGCACTTCATCTAATGCATCAGGACTCATAAAAATCAAACCTGAACTTGAGAGAACAAAAGAGATTCCCAGCACAGTAAGCTTTTCCAGAGAAACCTGCACAGATCTCTGCTCTTATGGTTTAATGCACTACCGGCACAGTATGCAATCACAGGATAAGGGTACGCTTGGCGTGAGCAAAGATGCGCATTCGTCAGCCTAGAACAGCACGGATCCAAGTCACATTCTCGGATCTGTGTGGTGCCTTCAAATGGTCAGAGTGATCACCAAAAAGTCAATTTAAGCTCCCTCTCCTCACTCTCTTGTATTTTGGAAGCTGGCCTTGATCCATTCATCTTCCACTGAAGCTGTCAAAAATTCTCCGTTCCCAGGCATATGAAGAAAATAACTTTCCCCTTCTACCTACACTGCATCAGGGATCCCTGGAACAAGAAGCAGCATCTTTGTGTTTAATAGTCCTTGATTGGATTCTTTCACGAATATGCTCTGTTGCTTTTTTGGACTGATGTTCATTTCCACGCTACCAAGAGGCAAAAGAGCCTAACTATGCACTGTGTGAAACAGAGCTGCTTTTTGATTTGCCTGGAACGTGCCACTTGATAATTTTTCTTGTTTGAAGCATCTTGGCATCCGCAGCCAAAGCCAGACAACTCAAGGACACAGCTGGTCCTACAGGCTCTAGAGAAAGCCTGGGAACAAAAGCAGGGCTGCAGTGGTGAGAGAAGGCTCAACAGAGTGAACGTGCAAAATCAGACTTGGCAGAGAAAGCCACCACCAGGGTGGAGCACAGCCAGGCTTCAGTGGGTGCCTCAGTGGAAAACCTAAGGGCCTTTGTCCAGGACACGATTAGCAGAGGTCAGCTAATGAATAATACAGGAACAACACTTTCTCCTCTTCAAAATCCCATGTCCAGCCTTTAGATCCCACCTCTTGATGCAGCTGGAAAGCCCAACGTGAGCAAAGACTGCTTTGACAACCCATGTGTCCATCACCTGTGGGAAGTGAGGGCCAAGAGCTTTGCTGGCTTTCACTTTGCAGCCCTGAATGTTTGGCAGCGTAGCAGAGAAAGCGGAGCAATCACCAGCTTCCAGGTGGCCACGGCAGCGGTTTTGTTCCTCCTTTGCAAGGGGGTTCATGAGCTATGAACGTGGTCCTTCTCATCCAGCAGCTCTTGCCTTGCTGCTGAGCCCTCACCGTGCTGCTGCTGCTGGATCTCCTGTCCTTGTCCCGCTCCCGCAGGACAGACACTGGCGTGCTCCGTAAGCCCAGCTCCACCTTCAGTCTCTCCTTCTGCGTGGTCTGGACGGCACAGGAGATGGTACTTGAGGCTGGGGACTCCAACCACAGCCCTGCCCCAATTGTAGGGTCTTTGCCATCCCCCAGCACGTGCTTCTGCGGCTTGTGAACTGCTGAAAAGCAAACGGCATCCTGAAAATGGCACGGAGTTTCTCTGGCAGGTTATCTGACATGGTGGCCCTGTACTGCAGAGGGTGGGCAAGCCAAAGGCAACAGGGCAGGGGATGCTGTGCACCAGACCCGTGTCCTACCCTGGCAAAAACCACTGTTCCACGTGCCCTGCCCGGCTCAGCGGAGATGCCTGATCCGGAGCCGCATCCACCGACCCAGCAGTGCATTAGATCCCGCAGCGCTGGTCTGGGACCGAGTGGCTTGGGAAGGAGTTGGCTTACAGGAGCGGTGAGACCTGACAGGTGGCATGTAGACGGAAAAGAGTTAAACCTCTGTCGTTTGCTGCTCTTGGGTTCACTGCAAATTCCTTTCCGGGGAAGGGGAAAAAAAAATAAATCATGTCTTGTTCTAGACCAAAGACTTGGGTTTGGAAGATCATGAAATACTTCAGGGCTTGTAAGGACTTAAAGACTAAACAAAACCAAAAGCTCTGGAAAAATTCCAATTCTACTTCTCTGCACGTCTACCTTGGGACTCACCTTTTGATACAGCCAAGCATTAGAACTAACCATTAGGTGATTCCTCTTAACTTGTGGCTCTTCCTTTTCTTTTACCTTCACACAGGCACTTACTACTCTATACCATGGTTCAAGTCCAGGTATCTGTCCTGAAAACAGGATGCGTGACTTCCAAAATCCAGGCAAGTCAAAGCATTGGGAGGATTTACTGCTGGTGGTAAATGACCAGATGCAGTAACTTCTCAAGAAGGAAGCAACGCCAGCCAAAATCGCATAGGTGGGTAGGTTGACGGAGCAAAGTGATCCATTCCCACCAGACAGACCTAGAAGGAATCACTGCCAACCACTGACGTAAAAGAAACTACTTGTTGTTGTAAAACGCACCCTGAACACAGTTACAAACAGAAATAACATGAAAATATGGATGTTCAGATTAATGAACTAAAAGCCATGACAATTTTAATTGGTTCATAAAAAAATACCATTAATTTTTTTTTTTCTGCAGATAGATCAAAACATACAGTTTGTAAAGGAGAACCCAAATAACCCTATATGCTTTAGGTCCAATATATTTAGCAACAGCCTAATTTAAGAGATTTAAATGGAGCTTTACACAAGCGTCGGAGAAGAGCCTAGCGCCCCTGGCTCCAGCTCCCACGGGGACTAGGGCCATCCTCTGCCCAGCACCAGACTCCCACCCTTCCCATCAAAATAACATTTGCTTACTAATGGTTCTTACTCCAAAAGGTGTAAATGGGCCCTTGTTTGAGCTCGTCACAGATTCAGCTTTACTCTTTTATCATCAGTAATTTGGAGATTTTTTTTTTCCCCCTGCCAATAGTTTCTATGTTCCACTCGCTGCTATTCGCTGGAGAAAGTCTCTTGGGCTTTTTGCCCTTTGTATTTCCTCTCTTCTTTCATGTGGAGAAGACTGCCAACGTGGGATTTGCAAACTGCTGCCAATATGGGATTTGTGCTGCTGCGGCTGCCAATCTTTAATTTAGCATATGTATAAAGCTAATTTTTGGACACGATGCTAGTGCCTGGCATCTCCGCAGGAGTCAGCCAGGTTGTAATGTTTGTATTGTACTGCACTATAAAAAACAATAAAAAGAAAATATAAAGGAAAAAGCCTTTTATCTCTAGCTTTATAGCTACAGATATGGTCTAAATACTTGTATTCTCCCTCTGCATCTAAAATTCGCTTCCTCCTTTCTGTGCCGTAGCCCTTTCTTTTAGATTTGCAGTTTGTGCTGCCTGCAGTCGGAGCCAATGATAGGCTCCTGCTCCCTACTGAGCATATCTTCGTATTAAAATGTATAAATGCGACTCTTTAGCGGAAGAAAAAAAAAAGGCTATTTTCCCTTTAATTACATTTAAACTCCACAATCACATGCGTGAGGTATTACTTTCTCCTTTTTTTAAATATTTTAATACAGAGAGTCGGAGAAAAAAAATAATCTAATCATTCAGGAAACATCTTTCTTACAGAAAACATAAGCTTGACTACCCTTCTTTGGCAAGGACATCTGCTGTTGGGGAGGAGGTTCCCGCAGTGAATCCTCTAAAATACGTCGGTGCCGTTCTGGCCCTGGCACGGGAACGAGCTGAACTCCGGCTGCGGGACCTCCCCTGGTACGGAGGACCCTGCGCAGCCCCGAGGAGCTCCTCGGCCGTGCCCTGGGAACGGGCAAAGGGGAAAGCCGCCAGGGAAGTCGGGGCTGCAGGGCGGGCGGCGGGGGGCCCGTGATGGTGCCTACAGCAGGACAAAGGCTGTAATAGGGTGATATGGTTCCCAGGGGTCCTAGCTGGATTTATAGATGGATTTATAGGAAGAGATGGATTCATAGGAAGAGCCTCCAGCAACAGTTTGCAGCTCTTCCTTACGGAGGGGGTTTAGTAAACCTTTACGTAAAGCTATTCCAGCCCTAGTACTTGGTTCACCAGAAGAAGCGCAGGCGTGAAGGAAACGCCAAAAGAATGGGCTGTGGTTTGGAAGAGCACAGTAGACCACAACAGTGGCAAATGCAGCTAGCGACTTAAAGTATGACTTAAAGACTGAATGCATCCAGTCTGAGCGTCCTTCCCCAAACGCAGGGGAAAAAAGTTATCGTGCAAATACAGAGAAGTATCAGGGTCTCGTACATTCGCTTTTTACAAATATTTAGTATTTCCACAGCCCACAGAACCTATTTTGATTTTTTTTTTTTCTTATCCACAGAGATTTTTGCAATTTCTTTTTCCACGATAGATATTAGACGAAGGAAAATGGTATTGCACTGCCCTGGCATCACTTTTTCCTTTTAATTACTGTGATTTAAATTACCCTATCTACAGAAGTCCACAATATAGCATTGACTACCTAGTAATAGAAGGTAGTTTTTCCGCACGGCTAGACTGGTATTTTCTAAGAAGGAGATCTGCTAGCTTGCCTACTTTCACAGCAGCAGTGCCATGTGCCGTAATGAGACAGTATTATTGTTGCAACTGCTCTTGAAGGCCTCTCTCCCCAGGCAGCCGAAGAATGACTGAGTCATGCAGGTGATGCATTCGCTGTAATGAGACGGACAAAACCCCAAAACCCACATCCAGGCCTTCGCTCGGCACAGAACAATCCCCTGCGTACCCACGCCTTTGGCAGAACGAGGGGATGGGGATGAGGGGGGCAAAAACAAAACCATGGATGCTGCGAAAAACCACATAGAAAATACTCATTTAAAGGAAAAAAAAAAAAAAGGGTGTGTGTGGGGGTGTCTAATGCTAATACTCCCTGCAGAGTCACGCAGAAAACCTGGAGTTTGGTTTTTAATCCCAGCCTCTTGTTCCCCCGGTTGGCGGGGAGCGTGTGCGGGGTGGAAGGAGGTGCCGTGCATCACTCAGCGGCAGCCCCGCCGGCTGCCTAATGAAAGGGGTTGACAGGCTCTTACGGGAGACACATCCAGCCCGCCTTGGCTGGAAGGATGATGGCCTTGGCTCAGAGCATCGCGCCACAGGAGGGGACTTCTTCCCGGCTTTATAAACTCTATCCTTGAGGCTCTGTGTCACTGCCAACTTCTTCTGCCCAATGCAGGACTGTCTAGGACTCCCTCCGGGGTTCATCCGCCGGTTGGAGAAGCTGTTATTGAGAAACACAGGACACACTTGCAGAGCGCGTTGAGCCTGGACCACCCTCGCGGAGCTTCCCGCACCTGCTAGCCGGGAGACCGAGCATCGGGGCTGGGAACGCTCGCAAGAACAGTACCGTTGAGAGGAAGCAGAGGCACAAAACAATTATTTATCTTGTGCTAGGAGCCTGCGAGGGTGGGGGGGTATCGTGTGGAGCCCTCTGTAAGTTAGAAATCGGCTCTATTCCTAGAGCGTCGGTGCATTGGAAAACCCTGCTGACAGGCCCCTCAGAAATACGGAAAGGATTAGCCCTCTGAATGCCAGAAGGCTGTCGCCAATGTCGCGCTTCACGTTAGCAGCCGTGCTCCGGGCCCTCCACCCTCTCCCGTCGTGGGGGCGGCAGGAGGAAATGCTATTATCTTTTCAGCGTCAAGTGTAACCGGACAAACGTGGGACAAACCCTCTTTTAGAGATCTCCGCGCAGCTTTAGGGTTACAACGTAAACATTCATTGCCAATCTGTAGTGGAGAAAGGGGAAGGATTTCTGCACCTTCGCTTTGCTTTGCGAACCCCTCTCCTGGGTGCCAGCCTGTAAGCGCTGGTGCCCGCGCCAGGAAGCCATTCCCGGTGACTAAGGTCTCATTTCCACCGCCAGTACCTGCTGTGGTTTGGATCAGTGGTTTGATTTCCTAGCACACAGGGTTGCCCTCTGCTATGAGCCAGTGGCATCCGAAGCTATTGGAGAAGCAAAGCAAACAGTTAAGGATGTTTCAGGCCTGTTGACCAGGATAAAACCTACCACAGGTTCTGTTTCGCCTGCGTCTGGCCCTTCTGATTAAATCCCACGATTTATTAGGTTTCCCTGATCCCGGCAGAGCCCAGGAGCCCTGTGTTCCCTAACAAGGTATCACACAAGCTCATGCAAGCACTGCTCAGCCCCGAGACAAAGATATTATCCCTGGGTTGAAAGCACAGGCCGGTGTCCGTGTCCGATCAACCACCGGTAACTCTGCTAAACCTGCCAGAAAATGGACTGTCACCGAGTACCGTTGCTGTCAGAGAGTTAAAACCTTTGACAGCATCAACCAGGAATAAATCTGAACCGAGGGACAAGTGCTTAAACTGCACGCTGCATCACGAAACCTATTCAGAAGCCTACACAAAACCCAACCCAACCAAAACAACAACAAAGAGCTTTTCGGGAGGTCTTGGCATGACCTCATCATTGACCTGCTGATTCACCATTCAGTTGGGCAAAGGATTCATATGACACTAGTCTTTCCCAATCACGTGAGAAGGGTACCAATGGAGTCACTGGTGTGAAACGTGAAATTATCCTCTCACATTTCATCTGTCAATTATTTCACATCAGCAGTCAA